ACTTTATCAATTCTGTTTGGTGGACATTTTTGCCAATTACACTTAACCCTGACCAATTACTTTACAGCCTCTTAAGGGCAAAGTCTGCATGACTGTCTTTTGTGCAGTGGCCATGTATGAACAAGTAGAGCAGGTCAAAGGTAGGTTGTCCCAAGACACACTCTGTGTAAACCTTACCCAGAAGATATTTAAACAGTTTCTACTTCAGGGGATGTTTTTCCCCTTCTTTGTTTTTTTTTTTTTTGAAAATCTTACATTGGATTTTTTCTGGCTTGGTGGTTCTTAACCTGAGTAAGTATTTTAAAGAAGGCATAATACAAAATTTCTCATCATAATATCACAGAGAAAGCAGAAGTTACATGACAACCAAACAAGTAAAATACGTTATTGATGTAATGGAATAACCTGTCACCCTCATGAGTGACTACACTATATCTAGTAACTACCTATAAGTATCTGTATGTCAATGGACTACTGAGTTTAGCTGCAATCTGTTCCAGCTAGACAGTCGAACTCTCTGTCTTCAGGCAGAGAGGAACCCGGACGAGGCTCCACTGAAGGGCAGAGTCTCGTTCGGGGAGGTAGATTGCCCCTGAAACCGTTTATACGAGTTCAAAAAGGGAATATTTTTGGCCAAGCCTATGGGCTCGGAGAACCCACGTTAAACCAGCCTTGTGCCACATACAACCTTCGTGGGGGGGTAGCTATAACTATACTAACTGGGATCTGTTGAGTACAACTCAGACTTATGCGAGAACTACCAACCTTCCAATAGTAGCACTCACTACTGGATTGACTTGTGACAACCTTGTGCATGATCGTTATCTTTATTCTTATGGTATTGGATTTTACAATAAACCTTTACTTATTTTATCCACTGTGTTTTCAAGTGTATATTCATATTAGCATGGAATATAACAACACATTTGATGCATACTTTTTGGTGTGGTCTTTCTCCCTTTAACTGCTTCGTTTTTTGTTTTAAATCATTCACTCCAAGAAAGGTGATAATGCCACTAGAACATAAAGGGCTACTAAGATGAAAAAAGAATGAGAAGACTCGTGGAGAGAAAGAACAAAAATTAGAAAGACAGAAAATGGCAATAGATGTTACATTTAAATATTTTTAAGATTGTAGGTGGCAGGGAAACAAGAAACCAGAAGAGAGATCCACAGGCAAGAAGTGCAAGAGAAGAAACTATAAGAATAGAACTTATGGTTGCATCTAGCTATTTTGACAGTAAAACCATGAGACCTAGTTGCCAATTTAGTAGTATGCTTAAATTCATGCAACTGAGATACCAAGGAGGAGAGTACATTAGAACAATTGCGATGAAAATATTTGAAGAAAAGATAGAGGGATGCCATGACATAGCATTGGGAAAGTAACTGAAGTGAGATGCCGGGTTCGGACCAATAACATCACAAACTGTTATACATGATGTAACTTTGAACGGTTTCAAAAATCAGCTCTCTATAAAATGGATATAGTTAACAGTATCTTGTTATCATGCTAACGGCACATGGCTAACGGAATATGTTATCATTCTAACGGCTAACGGAATCTTGTTATCATTCTAACGGCTAACGGAATCTTGTTATCATTCTAACGGCTAACGGAATCTTGTTATCATTCTAACGGCTAACGGAATCTTGTTATCATTCTAACGGCTAACGGAATCTTGTTATCATTCTAACGGCATAACAAATCTTGTTATCATTCTAACGCTAACGGAATCTTGTTATCATGCTAACGGCTAAAAGAATCTTGTTATCATGCTAACGGCACATGGCTAACGGAATCTTGTTATCATCCTAATGGCACATGGCTAATGGAATCTTGTTATCATGCTAACGGCACACGGCTAACGGAATCTTGTTATCATGCTAACGGCTAACGGAATCTTGTTATCATGCTAACGGCTAAAAGAATCTTGTTATCATGCTAACGGCTAACGGAATCTTGTTATCATGCTAACGGCACATGGCTAACGGAATCTTGTTATCATCCTAATGGCACATGGCTAATGGAATCTTGTTATCATGCTAATGGCACACGGCTAACGGAATCTTGTTATCATGCTAACGGCACACGGCTAACGGAATCTTGTTATCATGCTAACGGCTAACGGAATCTTGTTATCATGCTAACGGCACATGGCTAACAGAATCTTGTCATGCTAACGGCACATGGTTCATAATAATAATCAGGAAGGCCAAAAAACTTGAACAGAACAAAGACGAACTATGGACAGTTTATCCACAATTTCAAACCTGATATAGAACATACAAAATTGTAAAGGTACAATGAAAAAAATTAAACAGACCTTGAATAAAACTTGTTTGGATATATGAACCAAACAGCCAGATTATCCAAACACATGAATTGATTATAGTGGTGAAGGCTTGTGCAGAACCAACCATGCTTTTTGGAAGAGCCAAATATAGAGAACTGGTGCATTGCATGCCACAAGGTCCCTGCACAACCCTCCTCAGGTTTTGAATTCAGAGATGACCTTCTCTAAGACTGGTTGTCGCCCAAGGCTATAGATCCCAGACTGTCCTGCTATTTACCCACAGCTGGAAACAGAAGAGATGGATTCATACCTTTCCAAAGAATATTAGCATGTAAGTGAATGTTACAAACTCTACTGAAATTTGAACTTGGCTCTCCGATTCCTCAATCAGAGCTTCTATCCATTACTCCACCATGCCTCTATGGATATATGTATCTATCCTCCATTATATAATTTTATGTTTGTATGCTATTTAGATACAATTTATTGAAGTAAATGCTCTGGTTTCTTTAAATAAACAGTGTTAACTACATTTACTGCCTTTACTTAAATAAAGTGTCCATATTAAAATAATGTATAAACAGAAAACATTATATAATTGGACTTAATCCATTTCATTATATATATATATATATATATATATATATATATATATATATATATATATATAGTTGTATATTTAGGCAGCAATCCTTCCTTTATGCATGTTTCATTAAAAATGACAGACAAGGTACTACGGTTAAGCTTTTTATTCAATTTTTCTTGTGTTCTGACAAGAGCTTTCTTTTCTGGATAAAGGGTGTGTAAGAACTGTCCATATATATATATATATATATATATATATATATATACACACACACACACACACACAGTGTCTCAGAAAAATTGATATAATTTTATAATCTAATTTTAACATTTTGTGTAAAAACAACTCAAAATTTTGCTTGTTTTTTTGCTTTTCCGTTAGAGAAATTCTATTCACTGGAAAAGTAAAAGAGGCTTGTGTTAGAGTATTCTGAAACACACTCAAACAAGATTGCATAGTGTGCATTTGTGAGAGAATTCATTAAAAATGCACCAACTGCAATGCAAACTTGGACATGGCACAAAAAGCTTGAAGAGGAAGGCTGAATGCGTGGGGCAAAGGATGTGGATGACGACTAGTATCAAAAGAGATGGTCAAGCAGCTTTAGGAAACAAGTGGTAGACATACTTGAGAAAACTTGTGAAATTGTTCATGAAATTTATATGTATAACACAAAATGAAAAGTTATCTTAGGTGACATGTTTCATTCTCTGACAAATGTGAAGATTCTATTTTGCAAAATAAAACCCTCATATTTGTCTTGATAAAGTCCCTTAGAGGATAAAATGCATCAGCTAAGATAAGTTTTCCTTTGGTCTTTTATTCATATTGTCATTTTACAGATATATTTTAGTTATATCTGAAATTTTTACACATACACACGTGTGTATGTGTGTGTTTAAAATTTCAGATATAACTAAAAATATATCTAAAAGGACAATATGAATAAAGACAAGTTTTCCTTTTGTCGTATATATATATATATATATATATATATATATATATATATGTATTCTTCATTCACTTGTTCCTTTATATTATCATCTTACTATTGTTTGCCAAGTTGTGAAACAGAGTTCTCATTATAAACTGAAGAAAAGGCTGACTTAAGTCAAAAAATCTATCGGCCAATGTCCATTGTAGTTGGAGTTTCTTTGATGTTTAACTCACTAATAGTCTGTTAAAGATAAAATATCCACAGTAAAAAGAAAAAGAAAAAGAAGAAGCCCACATCACTAATGATGCCTATATATTGTGGAGGAGAGAATCTTCATATTGAGGTATTCTTTAAAACTCTTATTTAACACAGGATATAACAGGAGGATTTTTTAAACAAATATATCAAAACTTGGTTTACTTTGTGTTTAGAAGGACTATTCAACTTTGTTTGGTCATCGACACAGTCTGTAGCCAAGAGGTCAAATGATGGCAGATCTAATGACAGTTTACTCCTAGGAGAACTCAGGTTCAAATCCTGCGGGAGAGCGTATATTTTTTTTTTTTTTTTCATACCTTTTCTTTATTATCAGATTGTATGTATATATTCTGTTAGGTTAGGGTCTGAAGAAGAAATTATGGCAAGGAATTCCCTGTCAAAAATGACAGGAGTTTTTCAAGCCTCTCAAATAAAAAAAAATACTTTGAAGAGCTTATTTTGAGCTCTATGGTTGAGTCCATTTTAATGGGCATGTTTGACAAGCCCCAGAACTAATTAGAATTGGAGTTCAGGGTGGAAAAACTAATGTCAGCAAGTATTGGCTAACTTTCTTTTACATCATGTTGGTTTGAAAGTCTAACATACTATACGCTCGGTCAGATGTGCAGGGACATTTCACATTTTAAATGTAATGACTATTACAGGACTGAGAGAGTATTTTTTTTAACTATTGGTATGACTAATTGATGGGATAATAAAGATATAGTCTTTTAGAAATTTAGACTACTTAGATTGGTAAGAGAATTTGTTCCATTTTCAAGAAAGACTATTTGTGGTTTGAGATTTTATTCACCTGGCTTTTTCTTGCTTTGCTTACTATTTGCTGATTGATTCTTTGGAGTAAAAGAGGAAAAAGACAAATTCAGACAAGGTCCTAATTTGCTTATCAATAAATCAATAGTCAATAAGTAAATAAAAAAGAAGAAAGAAAAAGAAAAAAAAACAGAAAAATGAAAAAAAGAAAAGCAAAAAAGAAAAAAGAAAAGCAAAAAAATAAAAAATAAATGAAAAAATCAAAGCGAAAAGCAAAAAAAAAAGAAAAGAAAGCAAAAAAAGAAGAAAAGAAAAAAGAAAGCAAAAAAAGAAGAAAAGAAAGCAAAAAAGAAAAGAAAGCAAAAAAAGAAGAAAAGAAAACAGAAAGCAAAAAAAGAAGAAAAGAAAACAGAAAGCAAAAAAAGAAGAAAAGAAAAAAGAAAGCAAAAAAAGAAGAAAAGAAAAAAAGCAAAAAAAAGAAGAAAAGAAAGCAAAAAAGAAAAGAAAGCAAAAAAAAGAAAAGAAAAAAGAAAGCAAAAAAAGAAAAAAGAAAGCAAAAAAAGAAAAAAGAAAGCAAAAAAAAGAAAAGAAAAAAGAAAGCAAAAAAAGAAAAAAGAAAGCAAAAAAAGAAAAAAGAAAGCAAAAAAAGAAAAAAGAAAGCAAAAAAAGAAAGCAAAAAAAGAAAAAAGAAAGCAAAAAAAGAAAAAAGAAAGCAAAAAAGAAAAAAGAAAGCAAAAAAAAAAAAAGAAAGAAAACAAAAAAAAAAGAAAAAAGAAAGAAAAAAGAAGAAAAAAAAAAGAAAAAAAGAAGAAAAGAAAGCAAAAAAAAGAAGAAAAAAAAGAAAAAAAGAAGAAAAAGCAAAAAAAGAAAGAAAAAAAAAAAAAGAAAGCAAAAAAGAAAGAAAAAAAAAAGAAAAAAAAAAGAAGAAAAGAAGAAAAAAGAAAGCAAAAAGAAGAAAAAGAAGAAAAGAAAGAAAAAAAAGAAGAAAAGAAGAAAAGAAAGCAAAAAAAGAAGAAAAGAAAGCAAAAAAAGAAGAAAAGAAAGCAAAAAAGAAAAAAGAAAGCAAAAAAAGAAGAAAAGAAAGCAAAAAAAGAAGAAAAGAAGAAAAGAAAGCAAAAAAAGAAGAAAAGAAGAAAAGAAAGCAAAAAAAGAAGAAAAGAAGAAAAGAAAGCAAAAAAAGAAGAAAAGAAGAAAAGAAAGCAAAAAAAGAAGAAAAGAAAAAAGAAAGCAAAAAAAGAAGAAAAGAAAAAAGAAAGCAAAAAAAGAAGAAAAGAAAAAAGAAAGCAAAAAAAGAAGAAAAGAAAAAAGAAAGCAAAAAAAGAAGAAAAGAAAAAAGAAAGCAAAAAAAGAAGAAAAGAAAACAGAAAGCAAAAAAAAAAAAAGAAAAGAAAGCAAAAAAAAAGAAAGAAAAAGAAAAAAAAAAAAAAAAAGAAAGCAAAAAAAGAAGAAAAGAAAAAAGCAAGCAAAAAAAGAAGAAAAGAAAAAAGAAAGCAAAAAAAGAAGAAAAGAAAACAGAAAGCAAAAAAAAAGAAGAAGAAAGAAAAGAAAGCAAAAAAAGAAGAAAAGAAAAGCAAAAAAAAAGAAAGAAAAAAAAAGAAGAAAAGAAAAAAGAAAGCAAAAAATGAAGAAAAGAAAACAGAAAGCAAAAATGAAGAAAAGAAAACAGAAAGCAAAAATGAAGAAAAGAAAACAGAAAAGCAAAAATGAAGAAAAGAAAACAGAAAAGCAAAAAATAAGAAATAGAGAAAAGAAAACATGCAGGAAGTGTGACGTCTATCATCACTAATATTTCAATAAACCAAAAGAAATCACGTGAATGGCTGGAGAAACTAAAAGATAGACCTAATAAGTCGATAAGTAAATAAGTTTGGAACACTTTTTTTCTACCATATGCCAAATTTTTGTTGATTTGAGAGTGAAATCTTTCGGATTGAATTTTCCAAATGCATTATCAGAATGAGGCAGCTGAAATGTGTTCATTTAAACACAACCAAAGATCTTATGAAAGTTAATCTACAAAAATTGAGAGTTCAATACCTGGCTACTACAGTGGTGAACAAAAACCTGAGAGAGTTGAGTTAAAGGGAGATAACTGAAACATCTTGAAGAGACATGGCACGTGGAAGTAGAACAATTTGACTCTGGCAGACAAAATAAAGGGTTCAGTTCAAAATTCCAGTAAAAGGCCAGAGTGTACAATGGTCAAAATGTCATAAATATGGCAATAAAGACAAGGACAACAGTATGAACAAGGTAATTTTTTTTTTTTTTTTTATATATATGAGTGGACCTGACTATATAAGGAGTTCACTTTCCTGGTTCAAATTCCCTCCCTTAGATTTTAACATCCCAATCGTCAAGAGACCAATGCCTCCCTGTTTAAGAATCACTGTTTTGTATTACTGAAGATGTCCCACTCTTAAAAGGGCCAAGAAACTGACTCTTCGTTTTTCTAGTCCTATTGTTAATCTTTTTGCTTGAGTAAATGTGAATTTCCTCAGTGGTACATCATGAGGTACAAAGCAAAGATGATTGAGGTGGGGTGGTGGCAGTATGCTTCTGTCATTATTAGCCATACAGACAAGAATAACAATAGACTACTTTCACCTATTCAAGTTAGACCAGAAATGAATTATATGACCTGACAGACTAACCTGGACATATTTTTCTCTTCATAATATGTAAAATTCAGTATTATTATCTCTTTTCTCACATTTACAGTTGAAATACAAGCCTGCTTCTTTATACATCTTCACTGTATGCATTAGATGTATATACATACAAGAGTCGACTGGAACATTCATAGGCTGATCAGGATATAAATGTAAGTAGACACACCAGTTGGTAGGCTAAAAGACATGAAAAGTGTCCGAGAATACAACAGCTGGCCACCCAGCTGTTGTATTCTTGTACACTTGCAATGAACTTTCTAGCCAACCCTTGTATGTCTACACCCCTAACACATGCAGAAAAAAATGAACCTTATATCCTGATCCTGTCAAATATTTTCCGTTTTGGATCTGAGCACCCTAAATTTATTAAAATGCAGAGTACTTTTAAACATTGAAATAAATGAAAGAGTTCACAACAGATAATTGTATTTTCCTCAATTTTTAATTTGAAAGTTACTTAAAAAATAAATATGAATCTTAAAACTGATAATAATGACTAAGCTTTATCTCTGAGGTTCAGACAACATAAGACCTCTAAAATACTATGAATGTAAACAAACTATATAGTGTGTAAATGGCTCAAAGGAGAAAAGGTGGCAACAATATATTTAATTTGAATGAAATTTACTGGTTGAGCTGTTTGGGCCTCATCTATAAGGTAGTAGTAAGTAATAAAAGCTTAAACCTTGCTGAAGGCTTATTTAATACTAGCAGTAGAGCCCGGTGTTGCCCGGGGATGTAACAGTAAGAGATAGATCAAATATCGACCATCATAAAGACTGAAAAATAAAATTGACAAAGATTATTGTTTAAGGTTGACAGACACGCATGTCTTAACTATTTTTTTTTGTTTCGCTTTTTTTTTTTTTTTACGAATTGGTCAAACTCAAACAAAAACATTGTTTTCAATTGTTATGAGTCTACCGATTGAATAGAATTTTATTATAAACAATTGTCTTGTAAATGGAATTTTTAAAGCATTCTGAATGTAAAAATAAAGAAAAAAGTGTGCAAGACAATAAGAATACCTGCAAAAAAAAAGTGAAGTTTTGTTGGAATTGGTTGAAAAATGTAGGAAATCTGATCCCATATATAAACAAACACACACACACACACACACACACACACACACAAACAACCTGGGTTTTATGATAAGTATAACTCGATATGAGTTGTCCCCCTTTCATTCCCCCGATGTCTCTTAATCGTGTTTCCAAATTGATTTTGTGCAAAAACAATTGTTTTTCCAATTTTTGGTGCTGTCAGAACCACCGCAAGGTAATTTTACATAGTCCTGTGAAGTTTTGTTGAAATCGGTTGAAAAATGTAGGAAATCCGATCCAACATATAAACGTACAGATACACACACACAACCTGGGTTTTATAATAAGTATGATTTCCAAACCATATCACTCAGCAGTGGCAAAATGTCAAAAAACAACAACCAACAATTAAAAACTAAGATGAAAGACTGGCTTCATCTAGATGGTTTGGATAATTTGAGGATCTAAAATAATTCTACCCTTATTTACAATCAGACTAATGTCTTCATCTTTGTTATCATCACAATGCTTTGGCCATTGTGCTCTCTGGCCTTCTGCAGGTGATGGCACACCTTGAAGACTTTATTTAAAGGAGTAGTTTGTTCTTGCTTTGCTGACCCATATCTTGGGATAACTCTTATAACAAGACACCTGAAGAAGGCTGGAGGGCACATCTGAAATGTGGCAATAACAACAAAATGAGGACAATCGTCTGAATGTAAATAATGTGAACAATGATAGCTCCTCATCCCAGAAATTCAGATTGTAAACCACTATGTTTATTTATTATCGTTTTTCCATTCATTTTTTTAATTATTTCTACCGATTCAAAACTTAATTTGTTGCCATATTAATAGAAATTCTAGAATTTACTTTTATTCTGAAGAAATCAGTTAAAATAATAATATAGGAAGTGCTGAAATTCTGCAAATGAATAACAGATCTACAAGCAAATCTAACAAAAATGGCTACACAATGTTCAGTCTAATCATTATTATCTCCCTTTGAACTTTCTTTTCTTTTTGTCTTTCAGAAAGACATTGGTAAGATATAAAGGTTTAAAAAAACAAAAATAAACAGAGAAACAAAATTAGTATTAATTCTTATGGCATGTGGTACTGGCTCAAAATCTATATGAAACATGTACACTGGTTTAATGATTTTTGGTATTATTTTCTACATTTTAAAAATTGGTTTGAATTTGTAGCCATACAAATTCCTCAAGAAAACTTTCAATCTTCTAAAATAAAGAATACAGATTTGCAATAGCTGGACATAAAAGATTCGGTATTTGAAGATCTGACATAAAAAAAAACTCATTCTTTATAATACTAATCCAAAATATGCAGAGAGGATAATTCTATCCAATTCGAAAGACTGTTTAAGAAAATGAAAACAGATAGACAACTTTAGATAAGTATTCTTAATCACATTTGTCATTATGCGACAAGTTGTTCATGTGCATCCAATGTGCAAATATATTTCACTTGTAAAATTTACATCCCCTCCACACACACAGAGAAAGGGAACACAGATGCACATACTGAGAGAGAGAGAGACATGTACACCCCCACAAAGGAGGAGAGAGAGTGAATATTCATACAAAGTTTAGAGATAAAGAGAAACGTGCATGCATGTGCACAAAGGTGAGAGAGATGCATAGGCAAACAAGCATATGAGTGAGGTAGAAACACACAGAGGAAAAAGAGAGAGGGGAGAGAAAGAAAAAGAAGATAGACATAGAGAGGAGAGGAGAAGTGGGGAAAGAGAGGAGAGGAGAAGTGGGGAAAGAGAGGAGAAGCGGGGAAAGAGAGGAGAGAAGCGGGGAAAGAGAGGAGAGAAGCGGGGAAAGAGGAGAGAAAAAAGAGAGAGAGAGTAAAAGATATAAAGAGGGAATGAGAATGAATAGTGAACAAAACAGGAAGCCAGAAAAATAGAAGACAGCAAAGAGGGAATGAGACTGTAAGAAATAGAAACACCGGTAAAAATGGCGGTGGTTGCATGGGGGGGGCAGTTAAAGTGCCTCCCACTTTTAACAATAGACATAATCTTTCCTCCTTACCAACTGACCTACCCACCTCAGCTTTTTACAAAGACTATTTTTCCTCCTCTGCCCCTTCCTCCTCTACCCAATTCTTTCTCTGTGTTTCCAGCCGGGCTTTGCAAGCACTATAAATAGCATGAGACTAGAAATCAATACGTAGGCCTGCATTTTGCCAAGCAAATCACCAGACACATATCAATATCTCTTATACAGACTACGGCTTTAGCTCAACAAGCCACCTGTATATACTATACTGCTGCTGCTGCTGCTATTACCACTGCTATGTGCTATACTGCACTTAGCAGCCCGACTACTACTCAGCAAAGAAGTGGCTGAAGAGAGAGGGAGAGAAGGAAAGGTGTACAACTAGCCATACTTGCAGGGCTGGTCTTGCTACTGATGTAGCCATCAACATTATCATTCTAACGGATTTTACAAGCACACATTTATAAGACTAGCATTGGTATGTGGAAAAGCTTCCTTGTGTACAAGCACTTTCTTATTTGCTAAATAAAAAAACTCCACATGATGATCTTCATGCAAAATATGACCAATAAAGAAACTATGAAATAAGTTGTGCTGGTAGTAGCTAGGTCAACAGTACATTCATATACTTATAAAATCTACAGTAGATGTACAGTTAAAAATAAATATACCTAGATACCTGCTCATGAGTTTCAACTCCAAGCAAATATATTTGCATTAATATTAGTTAAGTGACCAATTTCCTTACCAGATAAGCTGGAATAATTTTCATACGCAAACTGCACATTTTAGAAGTACATAAGAGTAACTACTACAATAAGACTGGATGAAAAACTTGACTAAGGTTCACACATAAACCTCTACTTAGCAGGCAATTTGCCAGCTCAATAATTTTCATTATTTCAGAAACTTCTCATAATATGAGGTGTATGCAAAAATGTTCCTATATATATATATATATATATATATATATATATATATATATAGTGTCTTTATTCTCAAATGTGAATAGCAAAATAGTGGCATAGAAAATAGAACAAGTCAAATGAGTTCAAATTTCAGACAAAGCTGTTGCATTCACCTTGCATTAATGCCCTTGAGAAACCTAATCTATGAATAAAATAGTAGGGCAGACTGGGCTCTTTAGTGTTGATAGGGAAATCAGTCGAGGTGGAAATTAAATCCAAATTCAAAACTGTAAAGGGGGCAATGGAAAACCATTCCACTATCTTTCTCAAAAGAAAAAGAAGCTGTAGAGAGCTGTGATCACATAATTTTAACAGAGTTTTAACCCCAATGAAGATTTAGTCAAAGAGAATATGTATTTTTAAAAGAAAATGAATAATACGAAACATCCTCATTGTCAGTCCCGTAACTGGGTGTGGTCATAGGGTCACTACAGAGATTAGCACTTAACCGGTTCCATGTGCATATCTGTGTTGAAAATATTCATTCAAGTAACCCAATACAACCTGCTGTATGGTTGGGTCATTAGTGATTATATAGGTTCTCTACCAGGCTTTTCTAGTGAGGAGAGTGGCTAGACCTCAGGCTGGATTAAAAACAAAGGCAGATGAACCTTCTGTAGAGTCAATGGTCATTTAGCAAAATAGAATAGACTAAGCTCTATAGGTAATTTTTTTTTGTTTTTAACTGTGTACATCTACAGATTTTACAAGGTTTTGTCATTAGATTCATTTGTTTTTTTTACAGCTTATAAACCTTTTGCAGATTATTTAAAGCCAGAAAAAACTTTTAGATTATAAGAATTTTTTGGAGATAATAATCTACTGATACAAGTCCTAATTAACCCATAGCTGGGGGGAGAAGAGGTGGATTCATACCTTTCCCAAGGGTATTTGCACATAAGTGAATATCATGAACACAACAGGAATTGAGACTCTCCAATTGCCAGCCATTACCCATTATAGTGCCCACGTATCCAGTACAATAAAGCATTGCTGGATGGAGGGTTCAAATGATAGAATCAATAGCCATGTGTTTGTGACCAAAGTGAGCCTTCAAGTTGGAGGACATTGGCTATGGTTTGACCTGGAGAGGGAAGGGATCCAAGAGACAATTTGAACAAATGAATAGGAATTGTAGTTCATTTTAACATTTCAAACAGCTTCTTGTCAGCTGTCATTAATTCCATAACCATTTAAACAAACAAAGTCTGTCTATATTTTCTCAAGGACACATGGCACAGTGGATAAAAGCATTGGTTAGATCCAGTGACAGGACCCAAAGAGTGTGAGTTCAATACCCGGTTAAGGCAGTGGAGAACTTTCAGAGGGAAATTAACAGGAGATAACTGATAACTGACATCCATCAAACATGGCACGTGGAACTAGAACAGTCTACCCCAGTGAGCGAAATAAAGGGTTTGACATTCCAACCACCTGAAGAAGGCCGGAGCGTACAATGGCTGAAACGTTGTGATAAATATGGCGACAAAAATGAGGACAATAGTCCGAATAATGTAAATAATTAAACAAACAAGTTCATTTTATTTCCAACATGAATTTAACATCAGCAAAACTATTGATAATGAAATCACTGATCTCTTTCTCTAACACATTTTCTCTGTTCTATAGATTTAATATACAAAAAAGGAAAAATTCAGGGAATTTAAGGATCAAAATGGCTTCCGAAAACAACATCAAAAATTCTGATAAAGGTTAAGGTCATTTCCTATAAGATGTGTGTGAAATGTTTTAACTGAATAGATAACTTTTTGATTGTATTGTCATGACAGTCATGTCAAGATTGGATTGGTAAAAAAGGTTTCGTTATTAGATAGATTAATTTTTTTTTTTTTTTTACAGCTTATCCATCTTTTGCAGGTTATTTAAAGTCAGAAAATGATTTCAGATTATAAGAATATTTTGGAGATAATTATTTACTGATACAAGTCTGACTACTAATTAATCCATAGCTGGATTCATACTTTTCCCAAGAGTATTTTCCATGAGTGAATAGCACAAACACAACTGAAATTCTGCTCTCTGATTTTCAACTGCCAGCCATTATCTTTTCCAGCACCTGTGCATCCAAGCTTACAGCACTTGGTATTCCCAAGGGGGTCACAAATCAAGCACTGACCAGGATTGATGTTGCTTAACTTCAGTGATCGAATGAGAACTGGTGTTTTAACGTGACAGAGCTGTAAGCCTTTTGCCATTACAAGCATCAAGTTTTGAACTAATTTAATTCTGAAAAATTGATTTTGACAACTGCCTGATACCTAATCATATCAGCATGCCTTAAAAAGTAAAAAAAGAAATGAAGGGTGACTGCAGTAGAGATCATAGTCTTTCCTTAGCTGTATAATATGTACTTTGTGTGGGCTATATGTAGTTTTTGAATTCAAAGTTGTCCTTCTCCTCGACTGGTTGCCAATCAAGGCTTCTCATTCAGAGATGCTATCTATTATACCACCTGCACATTAAAACAATGCAAACATTTTTGTATTATTGTAGTTTATACATTGATTTAAGCAAATTTATTTTTTTCATTGATATGAGATGTAAGAAAATAACCAGTATGTTCTACATATTATGCTTTTATTTAATTCAGAGACTTAAGCATGAAAAAAAGTATTGTACATTTTATGGAGAAGGTCATGTCAATGGTCAAACATGTCAAAAGTGGTTTGTGGAGTTTGGTACTGAAGTTTTGACTTGCTGAACAATGCTACATTATTAGGTCAACTAGTTGAGGTTGATATCAACTAAATGAAAACATGACTTGCAAAGAACTAACATTATATCTCAGAAGGCTTACATCATTTACAGTTGAACTAATATCCACATCTTTGTTATGATCACAAATTTCATAAAATCATGCTTTCTGGTTGTCTTCAGGTTAATCTGTGTAACAGTCATATAGGAAGAAAACAATACTGATGTTCGAGTTTGACACTCTAGACTTATGAGCATGTTTTCAGCCAGGTGTATAAATAGTGGTGTCAGGCTACTGACTGCAGTGACTATTGAGTGGAACTATCCAGTCAAATTAGTGTGAATTATTGTGTGTCAATGGTTTGGGTTTTGATTTAGGATTTACCTGACTAAGCCAAGCTGCGCTACTAACAAAGTATTCACAGAAATAGTTAATTAGGTTTGGTTGACTTTTACTTTTTGTTCTTGTTAAGTATTTATTTGCAGACGTAAATACTGTTTTACCTTAACATTGAAGCCTTGAGTTAGACTTAATTGTTAATGGCCACTATATGTCACAAAAGTAACCTTCAATGTGATTTTCTGACCAAGTCTGAAGGTTACACTGATACATGAAATTGTGCCACCATGCAGTGTTGATGTCTGCCTGTCTGTTTCATATATATATATATATATATATATATATATATATATATATATATATATATATATATGAGAGAGAGAAGAGTTATGGAGGCACATTGGAGTAATGGATTTTAGCATCAGAGAGCCAAGTTCAAAATCCAGTAGAATCCATTACATTCACTTATGTGCTAATACTCTCGGGAAAGGTATGAATCATTTTCTTCTCCCACCAGCTATGAGTAAATAACACAACAGCCTGTGTCCTATAGCCTTTGGGGGCAACCAGTCAAGGAGAAGGAAAATTCTGAATTCAAAACCTGCTGAGGGTCGTTTGGGGACCTTGTGGCATATTGGGCACCACGTCTCTGTTTCTGGCGCTTCAAAGCAGTATGTTTGGTTCTGCATAAGCCTTCACCACTATAATCAAATGAAATGAGTGAGTAGTCTGGCTGATGGTTCTAAGAACTGAGCTGCTTTACACTCATACATCAAAAGCAACAGTAGAGTCCAGCATAGTGTTATAAATAATTTCCATTTTTGAGAACCAATTTGTAATGACAAATATATCGTCCTAAGTACTGCTCATAAATGACAGTTAAGAAAAAATTTGTTTTTATACAGCAGTGCCAGCATACACAGTGGATTAAAGGAGAAATGTTGTTCTTCATGACAGCACAAGTCTGCATACAGCAAGAACAACACAAGAAACAGTTCTGGAACTTGGTTCGTCTGTTCTACCCTACCTGTCATATTCACCTTAACTTGCACCAACCAATTATTACCTTTTTCGATTGTTGCTAAACTCTATGATAAGAAAAACTTTCTCTGGTGAAAAGCAGATTCCAGAGTTTGGTGAACCCTTCCTCACATCAAAACCTTGGAATTTTACTGAAAAGGCCTGATACGTGAAACAAGCCATTGCAAATAATGGTGAAAATGTACTTTTTGAAAAATAAAGTTGATATACAAAAATGGAAACCATTTAAGACTTAACCTCATTCAATATACATAGTATAAATTAGTGTAATTAGGTAGAAATTATTCTTCTAAACAAATTTTAAACATTAGTCTTGCATAGCAGATTGGTAGGTTGCGAAATTATTTTTGACAATCAGTTTACTGGTTTTAAATTTTGTTATGATATTGATTCTTTTGTGGATAAGTTTAACTGCTAACTTGATGAGCATATAGATCTCACAAGCCCTTGCTAGTAAACAGTATTTCTTGTTGAATACTCTATAAACATAGTTTTGTATCAGTGTTGTTTTTGGTTCAGAGAGTCAGTAGTTTCAAGAGACAAGTAAGGAATGTGAAAAAAAAGACGCATACTGTCAGTTTGTTCCTGTGGTACAACTGAGTTAATCATGGCATTAAAACATTGGTGCGGGATTATTTGATTTGGCAACAATTATGCTGACTGTATGCAATTGGCTGATGGTAAAACTGGTATATTAAGATTGTCATTAGCCACTTGTTTGGACATGATAATCAGAAACACTGAGATGGAAGAATTTTCTGAGAAAGGATGAGTAACATTGTACTTATGAACTACCCTCCATCCATCATTCATAAGAAGAAAAAAAAAGAAAGACATTGGCCTATACTTGGATTAAGACATTTTGTCACAATGCATTATTCAAATTTTAGACATATAATTTCTTTAAATACCAATTAAGAAATTGAAAAAAAAAATTCTATTTTGAAAAAAGATTGCTACCATAATGTAGCACTTGTTTTAATACTTGTATTAATAAATAAATAAAAATTGTAATTAGAGAAAAGGCTTAGAATATTCTAAGAGAAATATAGTTTTCAAGAATAGAGGCAAAAAAATTGATTGTTAAAAAAAGGAGGAAGGGAATGAGATAAAGAGAGAGTGAAGGAATGAGAGAAAGAGAGCGGGAGGGAAGAGAGGGAAGAAAAAAGAGAGAAAGAAGGAAAAAGAGAAAAAAGAGAGAAAGAAGGAGGAAAAAAGAGAGAAAGGAGGAGGAAAAAAGAGAGAAAGGAGGAGGAAAAAAGAGAAAGGAGGAAAAAAGAGAGAAAGGAGGAAAAAAAGAGGAAAAAAGAGAAAAAAAGAGAAAGAAGGAGGAAAAAGAGAGAAAGGAGAAGGAAAAAGAAAGGAGGAGGAAAAAAGAGAGAAAGGAGAAGGAAAAAGAAAGGAGGAGGAAAAAAGAGAGAAAGGAGAAGGAAAAAGAAAGGAGGAGGAAAAAAGAGAGAAAGGAGGAAAAAAGAAAGGAGGAGGAAAAAAGAAAGGAGGAGGAAAAAAAAGAGAAAGGAGGAGGAAAAAAGAGAGAAAGGAGGAGGAAAAAAGAGAGAAAGGAGGAGGAAAAAAGAGAGAAAGGAGGAGGAAAAAAGAGAGAAAGGAGGAGGAAAAAAAGAGAGAAAGGAGGAGGAAAAAAGAGAGAAAGAAAGCTTTTCATTTCTTGAGTCAGATTCCAACAATTTTATTTGATAGAGGATATTTTAACTTATACCAAGTTAAGACGATAGATAATATCATACTGTCATTTCTATAATTAACTCTAGTCTATAATCGGAGCTAATTGTCGTAATCTTATATTTAATATTTATTTCTCTTGTCATGCTTGGGATCAGGTTTCTGGTTCCTTCTAGGGTCAGCTTCCCCACTGTTCTTCTAGTCTCTCTGACTGAACTCGGAAATATTATTCACTAATTATTTATTTATTTATTTCCTGTTTAGGATTGAATTTCAGGTTTCTTGTAAAGTCTGCTTCATCCCTGCATTCCAAAATTTTATTCACTATTTTTTTTTTTTTTCTCTCCTTCACCAATAGGAGTAGATAGGTTCATTGCTCATCCGGTTTATGTCCCTCCTAAGTCTTTTGAACAGGAGTAGAGGTTTTTCCCTTGTTTCCTGTTTAGAATTTTGTTTCCTTCTAAAGTTTGGAAAACAGAAATGAGAATGATAAAATTTGATACAGGATATGTAACATTATGTTAGGTCATTTATCATTTATAATCCATTAAATGTGTGATCTTAAATATCTGATACATTTTTAATTTTTAATTACAAAAACAAAAAAAAAAACAAAAAACAAAAAAAAATCAATTAATTCAAAGCTAGTCTGTCTATGACTATTTCTAAGTGTCACTGCCAAGCTCAACAATACAAACTGGCAGAATTTCTACTGTTTTATTGACAACAATAGGTACATCAAAAACAAAATATGAAAGAAAAGCTTTTATGAAAGAAAAGCTCTTGTTGTGTTGCCCCTTGGATCAGCACCTGGTTGGATTTTGGATGCTGTTTTTTGAATGATTGCTTTAGCTGGATGCAAAAAAACAAAAAAAAACAAAAAAAAAAAACAAAAATGGCATGACCCAAAGTCAGACCACAGTCAAAAAAATTATGGATGACAAAAAAAAAACAAAAAAAAAACTGACATCTCTTAACACTCCTAACTGTGGGTAAAATAGTGTCAGAAAGAGAGAGAAAAAACCCCCGGAGAAACAGAGAAGAGAGAGAATCAGGTCTTGGTTGGTAACCAGTCTAGGAGAAGAACAGCTCTGAATTCAAAATCACAGAGAAGCTGATGAGAATCTACTACATTTTCTTTCCCAAAAAACAATTATGGCAATACAAAGTTTACAGTTATACAAAGGAAAAGGAAACCGTAGATAGTCATGATTACCTATAGGGTAAATACAAAATGATTATGACAGACAGGGAGAGGAACTGGTGGAGGAGGTGAGAAAGAGAAGTCAACAAACTAATGTAGAAAAAAAATGATGTTAGTCTAAATGAAATAAATAAAAGCAAATCTGATTTTTCAGAAAATAACTGAAAGCAAAAAAAGATTTGTGCAGCAGAGGCCAATTTACAGGAAAG